GATTTCCAAAACACACACAATTTACTCTTCATAACATTGTTTTTCCTGAACACTCTGGGATTTTCAGAATGGTACACTAGTAACGGCTTCACTTTGAAATCCCCACTAGCATTAGCACAGAACATGAGCGTCAGCCTGTCTTTCATAGGCTTGTGTCCTGGCAGTGCCTTTTCCTCCTGTGTAATGTAGGTCCTCTTTGGCATTTTCTTCCAAAAGAGGCCTGTTTCGTCACAATTGAACACTTGTTCAGGTTTCAGTCCTTCAGCCTCTATGTACTCCTTGAATTCATGCACATATTTTTCAGCCGCTTTGTGGTCCAAACTGGCAGCCTCACCATGCCTTACCACACTGTGTATGCCGCTACGGTTCTTAAATCTCTCAAACCAACCTTTGCTGGCCTTAAATTCACTCACATCACCACTAGTTGCAGACAGTTTCTTTACCAGATCGTCGTGCAACTGCCTAAGCCTTTTCACAAATAATCGACGTCATAATACTATCTCCTGCTAATTGTTTCTTGTTTATCCACACCAATAATAACTTCTCAACCTCTTCGAGTACTGGTGATCTCATTTTTGTCAGCATATTTACCCCATTTGCAACAACAGCATCCTTGATTTCCTTTTTCTTGGCCATGATGGAACATATGGTTGTATAGGGTTTGTTATACATCCTGGCCAGTTTGGCCACACTTAAGCCACTTTCATATTGTTCAATGATGTTTTTCTTAAATTCAATTGTATTTCTCACCTTCTTTACCAAAGGCTTGGCACTAGGAGCTTTCTTTGCCAGGATAGAAGCGATGGTCAACTTGTTTTTCCTGTACATCCTGGCAAGCACAACAAGTGACACACCACTCTCATACTTCTGCATTATTTCCTTTTTCACATCTATGGTGTTTCTCACTTTCTTTACCACAGGGGTACCACTAGGAAGTTTCTTTGGGCACATGGTAGCTTATTTCACAGTCCCACAAGCGCTGAACACAATGAAATAATCGTAAAATGTTTGAATGAGAGCGCAGGTTAGTGTTCACTCAAGCATCAACAAAACCAGACTGGCTCACAGTCCCTGCACGGGGATGTGGACAGAGTGGGCTGCTGGACAGGTCCGGTACCTGGTGGTTCGAAAATAGGGGCGAGTTCGATAATAGGGATAAAGTTGGTTCAAAAAAAGCATTTGATTTTCGAAGAGTTCGATAAGTGATACGTTCGAAATTTGAGGTTCCACTGTATTTGATCTCTCTTGATTAGCATGCAGTAATTTAATGTTCTTGCAGTTTTACCTGGGCTCTGCCATGTTTTATCAAGAAGTTACTGTACAATGCCCTAGGAGAGGTTTCAGTATACAGACAAGGTAGGTTCCAGGCTGCTGCTCTAAAGCAAAAATCACTATTAAGTGAAACAGCCTTTCTTTCATTTTCCAATACATATAAAAGCTTGACAAAATGTTTACACTATCACATATTAAGTGAGCAATAGTGCTAGGCCTAAAAAATGCATATACTTTACACACATTACTTACCTTAAAATATTTTCGTCCTCAGCGTATAGTGAGAGGTGAATATATTTATTGAAGGAAGTCGGAATAAATGAAGAATTGGTATAATTGAAAGCCACTGTATTAGTGAAACACTGTAAAGTGATGCACTGTAAAGTGAAACACTGTAAAGTGAAGCACTGTAAAGCAAAGCCTTGTGAAGTGAAGAACTGTGAAGTGAAGCACTGTAAAGTGAAGCACTGTAAAGCAAAGCCTTGTGAAGTGAAGCACTGTGAAGTGAAGCACTGTAAAGTGAAGCACTGTAAAGTGAAGCACTGTACAGTGAAGCACTGTAAAGTGAAGCACTGTACAGTGAAGCACTGTACAGTGAAGCACTGTAAAGTGAAGCACTGTAAAGTGAAGCACTGTACAGTGAAGCACTGTAAAGTGAAGCACTGTAAAGTGAAGCACTGTAAAGTGAAGCACTGTAAAGTGAAGTACTGTAAAGTGAAGCACTACAGTGAAGCACTTTAAAGTGAAGCACTGTAAAGTGAAGCACTGTAAAGTGAAGCACTGTAAGGCAGGGTCTGTCTATACAACAAAATGTTTAGCAAAAAAACATTCTTGTTATGGGTTCATTATTTTATATAATTATTAGAAAAAGTACAACCTAATTGCTGTGAGTATCTCACATTTAAAGATAAATACTATAGTACATTGTGGCTTAAAAATTATTCTTTAGACTATTATTAAACATGAAGACTGATAGGTAAGTTGTTTTAAATGTGATAACATTTACAATGGTGGAAAAATAGGTCCATTGTGTTGTATTGATGGTGTGAGAGATTATATGAGATTAGATTAAGTCAGAGGTGATGCTGAGAGTGTTTTATTGTTATTATTATTATTATTATTATTATTATTGTCATTATTATTATTATTACTACTACTACTACCACTACTGTTGGATAATATTATTATTATTATTGATACTACTACTACTAGGTACTGTTCACAAAAAACTCAGACTGCATTTGTGTTCACAGTGGTGCCTATGCTAACCTTCCTATGGTGTATAAATATACCTAGTTGGATGAACCTTATTGTGGCTAGCTGGTCCAGTGGCTAACGCGACAGTCTGGAGTTTTGAGACTCTCTGATCGCAGGTTCTAACCCCACCTGTGGTATGGTTTGTTTGCAATTCTGTCATTACAATTTCGTGAGTCGAGTTATGGTGTCTGCTGTGTGTGGTGACTGAACCACACAAAGCAGTGAACGTACAGTACACTGCTTTGTGTGGTTCAATCTGTTTTTGAAAGGTATTGTGCTTACTACTATTTATTATACAGTGGACCCTCACCTAACGATGGCATCGCATAACGTTAAATCCGCCTAGCGATACATTTTAACGCAAAAATTTTGCCTCGCCTAGCGCTAAAAAACTCGCTCAACGCGATTCGTCCGAGACGAGTCCCCGTGCGGCCTCAGCCAGCCTCACTTGTTCCGTGGGTGGCAGTGTTTACAAGCCAGCCTTCGCGGTCACATCCAAGCATACAATCGGAACATTTCATATTATCACAGCGTTTTTAGTGATTTCACCTGCAAAATAAGTGACCATGGGCCCCAAGAAAGCTTCTAGTGCCAACCCTGTGGTAAAAAAGGGTGGGAAATACTATCGTACCACAGTCAGCTGCTGCTGCACCACCGTCAGCTGTTGCTGGACCAGTCAGCTGTTGCTGCACCACAGCTGCTGCTGCACCACAGTCAGCTGCTGCTGCACCTCGGTCAGCTGTTGCTGCACTAGTCAGCTGCTGCTGCACCACAGCTGCTGCTGCACCACAGCTGCTGCTGCACCATGGTCAGCTGTTGCTCCACCACAGTCAGCTGTTGCTGTTGCTGCACCACCATCAGCTGTATTACTCGAAGATGTGGAGAGTGTGTTGTTGGTATGGCTTAACATGAAACAATTACCGAGAAACGATTAACCCCAGAGGGTTAGCCACCCAGGATAACCCAAGAAAGTCAGTGCATCATCAAGGACTGTCTAACTTATTTCCATTGGGGTCCTTAATCTTGTCCCCCAGGATGCGACCCACAACAGTTGACTAACACCCAGGTGAACAGGAAAAAATGCCTGGAACTAGTGCTCATATTGGTGAGGTTAGTGGGGAGGATGTGGAAGAGTTGGTGGAGGAGGACAATGAAGAACTAACCACTGATAAGCTGTTAGATCATCTTCAACAGCAAGAGGCCACACCTGAGGAAACTGCTTTGGAGGAGGGGAGAGAGAAATTGAAGAAGTTGCCTACTTCAAAGATTAAGGAAATGTGTGCAATGTGGCTTAAAGTGCAAACCTTTTTTGATGAAAATCACCCTGACACAGCTATTGCAAACCATGCTGGTGACTATTACACTGACAATGTTGTGAAACACTTTAGGAAAGTCATAAAGGAACGAGAGGTACAGACCTCTATGGACAGATATGTTGTGCGACAGAAGTCCAGTGACTCTGAAGCTGGTCCTAGTGGCATTAAAAGAAGGAAAGTAACCCCGGAAAAGGACTTGCTACCTCAAGTCCTAATGGAAGGGATTCCCCTTCTAAACACTAAGACCATCCACACTCTCCCCTCCTCCCGTTCCATCAATCATCACCAGATCTTCAATAAAGGTAAGTGTCATGTATTGTACATCTCTTCTTCAGTTTGTGTGTATTAAAATTAATATTTCATGTGGTAAAAAATTTTTTTTTTCATACTTTGGGGTGTCTTGCACGTATTAATTTGATTTCCACTATTTCTTATGGGGAAAACTAATTCGCCTAAAGATAATTTCACCTAATGTTGAGCTCTCAGGAACGGATTAATATCGTTAGGCGAGGGTCCACTGTAGTCAGTTTTAAGTTTGAATATAAAGGCGAATAGGTGTAAATTACAGTAGACGTAGCTTGAATATTAAGTACTGTAGTTCGTATTTTAAAAGCTAGGGTACAAAATGGGGTATTTGGTTTGTAATAGAAATAAAGAGTAAACAATATAAATTTATATAACATATAGTGAGTTTAGGCCTAGTCTTCATGGTCATTTCAAACAAGTTGAATTTAAAATATAGTTTCATGGAAGGTCATAATTTTTATTTCAGCACTCTTAGAATATTGAAATTTTAATTTTGAAATTGCTGAAATTTAATAAGTCGTATTACTGTATGTCTCCTGCAAGTTTAGCGTTCATCATGAATATTCAATATTAAGTCATGTATCTCTCTTAGTTGGAGTAATAGAGTTTGAATATAATGTGTTCCTTTTCATTCCTAATTCATGATAAAATTCTTGGTACATGTACTGTATTTATTATGAGTGTGAAGGTTTACTCATATATTGTGGTGGCTTAGCTTCATGATTTACATAAGGATTCATGCTCTGTAGCTGCAACATTCTTCTCAAAGCAACATTTCTGTTTATTTTCTACCTTTCTTACCATTTGAGTGTGATTCCAACTGCAGTTACTTACTACCCATGCATCCAGGCTGGTTGATTGTGGTAACATAGAACAGCTGGTTCGTGAAGTGACAGAAAGCGTCACTCAGAGAAGACAAGCCTCTGTTGGCACCATACAGCATGCTCTCCTCTCTAACAAACTAAGAATCAGCATTCCTCAGGTCAGTGCTATGCTCATGCATCGGTACACTGGTTTATATAGAATTCCTAAAGTACCGTACTTTGCACACATTTGCCAACACACAGCTTGTAAAGATTCTGTATAAACCTATGTATGGCACTTAAAGTGTAGAAAGTTTCTAGTGGTCATTGAGGCTAATGCTGGCAGGCTGAAATATTGGCATTGTATTAGGTAAGTAGGGCAGCATTCAATCTGGCAGTGCATGTTACTAGGTAAGTAGGGTAGCATTCAATCTGGCAGTGCATGTGAATGTGGACTGGTGTGCACTGGGAGGCATCTGATAACATAAAGGTTTGTCCAAGTGGCTGGTGCACATTTCCTGTTAATTTGTACAAATTATTTATGATTTTGCCACATACAGTCATTAGAACATAAGAATGGAGGAACACTGCAGCAGGCCTGCTGGCCCATACAAGGCCACCTATTCCCACCCACCCACTTTTCCAGCCTTTTTCCAAAGCTTCCCAAGAATTACCTTCAATACCTCAGATACTAATGAGACCCAGCTCTTTTCATTCATATATTTGTCCAGTGTGAATGTATTCAGATATTCAGGAATGGGCTTGGCAGTAGATTGGTCTTTGAAAGACAAGGTAATCATAGAACTGATGAGGGGAAAAAGGCAAGCAGAGCACTAAGGAGTTTGTGAAGACAAAGAACATTAGGTTAGGTTAGGTAAGGTTCGTCAGGAAACAGGACAAATGTTTCCTGACGTGGGTCTGTATAGTGGTACCAATGCTTTTATAAATGTGTGAAGCATGGGTGGTGAATGTTGCAGGTCGCTCCTGTCTGTCTCAACTATTGGACCACTACGACAAGGTCCTAAATGCACTAGAAGACAAAAAGAATGCAGATGTAATATATACAGACTTTGCAAAAGCCTTCGACAAGTGTGACCATGGCGTAATAGCGCACAAAATGCGTGCTAAAGGAATAACAGGAAAAGTCGGTCGATGGATCTATAATTTCCTCACTAACAGAACACAGAGAGTAGTCGTCAACAGAGTAAAGTCCGAGGCAGCTACGGTGAAAAGCTCTGTTCCACAAGGCACAGTACTCGCTCCCATCTTGTTCCTCATCCTTATATCCGACATAGACAAGGATGTCAGCCACAGCACCGTGTCTTCCTTTGCAGATGACACCCGAATCTGCATGACAGTGTCTTCCATTGCAGACACTGCAAAGCTCCAGGCAGACATCAACCAAATCTTTCAGTGGGCTGCAGAAAACAATATGAAGTTCAACGATGAGAAATTTCAATTACTCAGATATGGTAAACATGAGGAAATTAAATCTTCATCAGAGTACAAAAAAATTCTGGCCACAAAATAGAGCGAAACACCAACGTCAAAGACCTGGGAGTGATCATGTCGGAGGATCTCACCTTCAAGGACCATAACATTGTATCAATCGCATCTGCTAGAAAAATGACAGGATGGATAATGAGAACCTTCAAAACTAGGGAGGCCAAGCCCATGATGACACTCTTCAGGTCACTTGTTCTATCTAGGCTGGAATATTGCTGCACACTAACAGCACCTTTCAAGGCAGGTGAAATTGCCGACCTAGAAAATGTACAGAGAACTTTCACGGCGCGCATAACGGAGATAAAACACCTCAATTATTGGGAGCGCTTGAGGTTCCTAAACCTGTATTCCCTGGAACGCAGGAGGGAGAGATACATGATTATATACACCTGGAAAATCCTAGAGGGACTAGTACTGAACTTGCACACGAAAATCACCCACTACGAAAGCAAAAGACTTGGCAGACGATGCACCATCCCCCCAATGAAAAGCAGGGGTGTCACTAGCACGTTAAGAGACCATACAATAAGTGTCAGGGGCCCGAGACTGTTCAACTGCCTCCCAGCACACATAAGGGGGATTACCAACAGACCCCTGGCAGTCTTCAAGCTGGCACTGGACAAGCACCTAAAGTCAGTTCCGGATCAGCCGGGCTGTGGCTCGTATGTTGGTTTGCGTGCAGCCAGCAGCAACAGCCTGGTTGATCAGGCTCTGATCCACCAGGAGGCCTGGTCTCAGACCGGGCCGCGGGGGCGTTGACCCCCGGAACTCTCTCCAGGTAAACTCCAGGTAAACAAGAAAAGGTGGTGGAGATGTCATGTCTTAGGGCTATGTGCAATGTGAATATGATGCAGAGAATCCATTGCTTGGAGATTAGAAGGAGGTGCTGGGTTTTTAAAAGCATTTTCCAGAGGGTAGAGGAAGAGTTGTTGAAGTGGTTTGGACATTTAGAGAGAATGGAACAAAATAGAATGACTTGGAGGGCATTTAAATCTGTATTGGAAGGAAGGTGCGGTAGGGGTTATCCTAGGAGAGGTTGGAGAGATGGGGTAAAGGAGGTTTTTGTGTGTGAGGGGCTTGGACTTCCACCAGGTGTGTGCGAGTGTGTTAGGAGTGAGTAAAGACGGGTGATTTTTATGGCGTGACATGCTGTTGGAGTGCGAGCAAAATAACATTTATGGAGGGATTCAGGGAAACTGGTTAACCAGACTTGAATCCTGGAGGTGGGAAGAACAGTGCCTGAACTCTGAAGGAGAGGTTCTGATATGCTGCAGTTTTTTAACTGTATTGTGGGCATGCCACTGGCAAGACAGTGATGAAGTGAATGATGATGAAAGTATTTCTTCTTTTTCTGGTCAGCCTGCCTTGGTGGGAAATGACCGATGTGTTAACAAAAAAAAAAAATAAAAATAAAAGTTTTCCAGGTAATGAAGGTAATTCACAGATAAAAGTAATTCATAGATTTTGATTATATTACCCATATTTTACTGAAAACAACCAGAGTATGAATTCTACTCTCTAGCATTTTCCTGGCGCATCGGCTTTTCTGTGAACAGATCCCTTTACTCTGGTCATAATTTCTTAAGGATGGCATTATTTACTAGATGTGATGTATTAGAGATTTTTTTTAACACACTGGCTGTCTCCCACCAAGGTAGGGAGACTCAAAAAAGAAAGATACACTGTCACCATCACTCACTTCTATCATTGTCTTGCGAGAAGTGTACTGACATTCAACTCAAATTCTTCTCCAGACTTCAATATCCCCACCTCTCTCAGAGTGCAGGCACTGTACTTCCCACCTCCAGGACTTAAGTCTGGATTACAGAAATATAGTCTCGGAAATACTAAATAGGCACAAATTTGAAATAAAATTTATTATGCAGACATAATTTTGCATAATTCACGGTTTTTCTACTTTTGCGTGACCTCTGCCGTAGGAATATAAATCGGTAGTTGTCCATTCATTAATATAGTGAGGGAAAAATTCCATTTCAAGTGAACTCTCCATCTAACAGACTTTGGAAATATGGTATAATATTCACTGGGTCAGTAGATTTGGAAATAATGACAAAGTCCTTTGCTTGTAGAATTGTTCATTATTGTTACAATCACAGCAAAACAATTCTCTTCTGTCTATCTGCTGTATGACCCTGGTGGGTTTACCACTTCTTTTTGATTATAATAATAATCTATCCACCACAATTGCCATTACTGGTCACCCACCCACTACCCATTAGTCAGTCAGAGGGTTGACTGTAGTTTTGTGAGTAGTGTGACCCTTGTAGGTTCAAAACTTCTTTTTGATTATAATAATAATAATAATAATAATATAATAATAATAATAATAATAATAATAATAATAATAATAATGTGAGTAGTGTACAGTAGATTTGTGAGTATTTTTATTGAAAAACTTTTTCAGGTACTGCATCATAGATATTGTAACATTTAAAAACTACTTAGTGGAACTGATTAATGTATTTTTGCATCGTAATGTATATTATTTCAGGATCACAAATAACACTTGGTTATTACCACCAACAGCTTAACATATTGAGGAGTGATCAGATGATGCAAATCCTGCACAGTATTGCTTAAATGTTCTGAAATTCAATGAGCAAATCTTTTTCTTACCTGTCTGGCATGGGTGTGCGCTAAGGTGCCATTGCAGTTACAGTATGTAAAACACGTGGCTCTTTAACGAAAAGCATATGATAATTGAGGTTGCTTGTGGCTAAGTGGTAGCTCCCTTGGCTCTCAACAAAGAATTAGGATGTATTGACAAGTGTCTTTACACCAGTTGTCCCTTCTAGCAGATTGTCATGGGTTAAATTCAGGAGGGTGATAGCACAGGTGCTCCTCGACTTTTGATGGGTTATGCTCCGATAACCCATCGTAAGTTGAAGATATTGTAAGTCATATATGAATGTGATATGATAAATAAATAACTACTGTCACTGAATAAGTAAATAATTACTATAACTAAATACAGCCTCTCCTCACTTAGTGATGTACTCATTTACCGATAACTCGGACTTACGACGGGCTCTCTGGCCAGTATACATACCTAAATAATGTATATTAGAGCTGATTTTCCTCTATTCTGTTTATTACAATATACAGTACACTACTGTTTACACATTTAAAAATATTCTAAAAATGTTATAAATGATGCAAAGGTGACATTAAAACAATATCAAAGATGGTTGATACACACCCACTACCATTATAGTACGCTCCTCACTTAGCGATGAATTCGCTTACCAACATGGTCTTAGGAACGGAACTCCATCGGTAAGTGAGGAGAGGATGTACCAGAAGCAGGGGACAGATTTGGGAGTTTAGTAGACGTAATGGGCTTGGAAAAATTTGGTTAAAAATGGAAAAATGTTTGATGACTACTGAATGTGTGTTGCCATTGCACCATCATGAAGTCAAAATATCATAAGTCAAACCATCGTAAAGTGAGGAGCACCTGTATTTCCTACTGGGCTCTGAAATCCGCTGTGGTAAGATCACAGCTCTTAGCTTGTAAATCTAATTGTGAAAAAATTTAATACTTGTATTAATAGTAGAGAGAATAAACCTTTAAAATTCTTAATCTTCTTATGATTATATCAGTTAACAATTTTGTAATTTAAATCATGAGTTTAATAAAAAAGTAGATGTG